TGTAAATTACAGGCCTCTCTCATCTTTTTAAGTGGGAGAACCTGCACAATTGGTGGCTGACTAAATACTTTTTTGCCCCACTGTATTCCACCCAATATTGTGTCATCTGCAATAAACATTCTCTTTAAATCATTAATAAATCTAGACAAATTGGGATTGAATCCGTGATATCCTACTTGATTTTAAAGAACATACTAGTTAATGAAATTACATATCTACTCTATTTGAATGTTTTATTAATGGAAAAAGTTAAGCTTTAAATGATAAAAGTCTATACACTTAAAATATGGCAAAGCATTACTGATATAGGAGTTCAATGTTCCTTGACCTTAAGGACTCAGAAACTGAATAAGGCCTCAATAACCGAGATGGAGAAATATGTTTAGCCTATATCTTTCTTGGGCTTGGACAGAAGGCTATTTTTTTTCTGGAAATATTCATGTCTCCCACAAATTGCAGTATATAGGAGACACTGGATCACTGTATATTTTTCAGCCACCAAAGTTAAAAAGCACCAAATTATGCTCAGGAATAAGCTATTGCGGAAGAAGCTCTGAAGAGAAAACAGCATACTCCACTTGCAGCCTCAAATAAAACACCTGTAATTTATCATCAGTAACGTTAAAACCATCTGGGGCAATTATACTTCCTTCTCACAAGGCTTACACTTGTTTATAAACAACTGTCCAACTTAAAACAAGCATCAAAGTTCATATCCAGGCTCAGTGATATATAACCAATCTCCAGAATCTTTAATTCAGCTCTCAGCTACATTTGGCAGGAGACTCCCAGAGATGGCTCAGCTAGTTCAGAAACTTTATGGCAGACAAGAATGAAGGCTTAACGCAAAGAGCTGATTGTCTACTGCAAAACGAAGAATTTAGAGTCTTTACATTTCCATGGATCAGTGTTTCCATGTCCTAGGAAATATAAGACTATGGTAAATGGTACCCAAATGAAAATTAGGGTTAGGGTTAGGGAAAATTAGGGATTACCTGTAGAGAGGGGATGGTCTAATCCTTCTCAAAAGTCACTGTAGTCATAAAAATTATGTATACTGTGTGCGTGGTTTGTGTATGAATTTTATAAACTAAGGAGTTGGAAAGAAGTATTAGGAGAGATGCAGGCTTTCACAGCCAGCGTCAATCCAGTGGTGACAAGCTTCTGCACTAATAGGCCATGGTCTAATTATCTGATATCCTGACATCTCGCCAGCAAGTGTGGCTGGCATATTCAGAGGTGAAAGTGATCTGCTCTGTAGCACACTTCTCAGCAGTTCACAGGCAACTCTGTTCAACATTTTAGTGCTTGAATAAAATGCCATAATAGAGATGAGGGGTAAGGGAAAAGTATTGGATTTAGTGATCAATAGGTCTATCCTCAAATCAGAATATTTGCAACTAAACCAATCTATTATGTGGGTCCTTGCCCCACACCCCAGCATTTATAATACTGTAATAAATTGTACTTATGTACAATTTAATTTGGATGAGAATATTACTGAATGAAAAATATACAACCTCAAAAGAAAAAGCATTTGGTTGCATAGACTAAATGAAACAGAAAAGGATTCTGGGAAGAACCCACAATTATATGTATCATAAGCTGCCTAGAACTGCAGGAGGTTGGGTGGGTAAATAATTAATAAATTAATTTAACAGAAAGCTATCTCTATTCCTTTGCCTTTCACTGATAGCATACCAGCATAAACCAGAATGAAGAGTGTTAATTATATTTTGTTTCTTAGACAACAGACCTTTAGTAAATGATAGGAAGCCATAAAAATACAGAAACTTCAGACATCTGTGACTATGATTTTATTGGTATAAATATATCTTAGGAATATATCCACTGATAAAGCTGTTGGACAGAAAAATATTTTATGATTTTGGAGAGAAAATAATTTTATCTTAGGTTGTTCATAAATATCTTTTAAATGTGAGATGTAGATGGTACAAAGAAAGAATAAAAGAGTAGACTTATAAAGGTGAATATGTGTACCTCAGGGTTTAACTATGGAGTCCTTGGGGTTCTCTGAGCTTGGTTCTTTTCTTGCAAACGTTTCGTTATCCGGCTAGTAATAAAACATTTGCAAGAAAAGAACCAAACTCAGAGAACCCCAAGGACTTCACAGAGTAGACTTAGGAATCTGCAGGCTACTAGGGGATTCAAAGTGGCCTGTGAGCCACTGAGGGCTCTTAAGAAGCTTCTAAACACAACTATTATAACCTTCCAATGAGAGTCAGGGTGGTGAAATTCAGGCTAAGAGGAAATTAAGAGTTTCTTTGTTCTCAGTAAGTACTCTTGGGAAGCAAAGGCCTTAAGATTGAATGCAACTGTGCCTAGGACCCAGGGTCTAAAACAGCCCTGAGAGAACTGGAACCAGTAACATAAAATTGATAGGGGATATATAGTTGTATGAAGTGTCCTTTATTTCTTTATAGTACTGCTTACTCAGTTTGGGTTATTTATTTATCAGATTTTTATACCACCACAACTGACATACTCTTGGCAGTATACAAAAATGTAAAGTAGCAATAATAACGTACTATATACACAATAACCCAAAACAACAACAAAACATTAAACTGGAGCAATATACACATACATTAAATTCAGTTAAATTAATCTAAGATCATAAAATCATCAGATTGGAAGGGATCTTGGAGGTCTTCAAGACCACCCCCTGCCCAGGGCAGGAATCCTCGCATGTTCCAGACAAATGGCTGTTCAAACTTTGCTTGAAAACTTCTAATAATGGACCACCCATGACTGCTAAGAGACAGGTTGTTCCATTCATCAGGAAGTGCCTCCTTACTTCAAGTTTGGATCTCCCTCTGTTCAGCTTCCATCCATTGGTACTTGTCATACCCTTGGGCACTATGGAGAAAAAATCCATATATTCTTCCGTGTGATAGTCCTGCAAGTACTGGAAGATGGCTATCATCTCCGTTTAAACTTCTCTTCATTGAGCTAAACATATCCATTTGCTTTCTTTAAAGGATTTAACTTCCAAGTCCCTCACTATCTTTGAGGAAAAGTTCTATTATAACTTGTTTCCAGAAGACCAACAAGGTTGGGGCTAATCCAATTTCCAAAGGAAGCTGTTCTATAACACTGAACGTATGGAGAAACATCTCCTCTTAGCCTCACCCCCTGATTTTCCAAAGTGGGAGAATCACTAGCAATTTTCCCAGGATCTTTGTATTGGATAGGCTGATTCCAACCTATATCACTTCAATTTGTCATGGAAATTCCTCCCCACAGGAATCTTTTGCTGCATAATTAATCAAATTCTAACTCAAAACAAAAGGGTTGAAGCATTAAAAATGACACAAACTATCATTCAAAATCTCCACCAATTATTATGAAATTTGGCATGCTTCATCCCTCATTTAGACTTCCTGTAAATTTCAATCTGTTCTGGGGAAAGCAAAAAAGCTATAGACTTGTTAAGTACTGGGTTTTAAAGGAGAATCACTTGAAAATACATTTAGACATTTATGCCTTTTCCATGCTAGATAGTAGAAGTCAGAGCTTTGTTTTTCTGGCTCTACTTATGACTTTGTGACTGAATTGCATTAGATTATCTTTGGAGTGACTGGGAGAAAAGACAGATCTGATCCTTGAAGTAGATTAGGCAGTCCCTGCACAGATCCCTAGTATACTTCTATCTCAAGATTATATTTCATTCATTTTCCAAAGTAAATGTAATCTGTAAAAATCTTAAACCAAATGTAACATGTTAACCTTTTTGTTACTAATTTGGACAATCACAAATTCACAATATTTTTCCAGCATGTTTTTTTGAAGTGTATATTTGCATTTCCAATCTTTCTCTGTCAATATTTCTACATAGTTGCACTTTTAATGACTTCCTCTAAAATGAAAAAAAGTCATTTGTTCTCATGGAGAAAAACTGTAAGTGGCACTATAGCCCAGTGTTGTGATGGGAAAAGTGGAAGATTATTTATTTATTTAAGGAAGATAATAAGAGAAACTAAAAGGAAGTAATAAGGACAATAACCCTGCTCAGACTGTTAAAATCTCTCAATTTTAATAAATATCATTCCATGCTAATTACAACTCAAGCACAGGAAAAACATGGTAATCTATTTACCTAGATACTGAAGCACTGCTTCTAAAGGTTTTCTAACAACTTGCTTTGACAATAAATTTTCTGAAGCTTCTGGTAAACGAGCTGCACCTGAAGACAACATTGGAATAAATATTACTTTATATACATATTAACAAGTAGCATTTCTGAAACCAAAAGTGACATATTTATGACATGAAGAAAATCTATATAATAAGCAAACAATAATACTGAATATAAATGAGATCTTAATGGCAAGATTTTCCTGTCCCCCTCAAGGCAATAAAGCATTAATCACTTGTCAGCCTCAAACTTGTGTACAGGTAGTCCTCACTTAATGACCATTCGTTCAGCAATGATTTAAAGTTACAATGGTGCTGAACAAATAGTAGTTGTGACCAGTCCTCAAAGTTATGGCCATTGCAGCACCCCCGCAGTCATGTGATCAAAATTCAGGGGCTTAGTAGCCTACTTGCATTTACAACTGCAGTGTGCATTTCAACTCCCCTCACCCACCTATCTGCCCAACTCTGCCCTTTTGGCTGCTCTGCATGCCACTGCCACTGGCCCTGCCCCCCTGCCCCCCACCCTGCACTCTGACACCCCTGCCGCCCCCCATCCTTGTCAGCAGCAGCAGATGGGGGTACAAGGCAGAGTGTAGGACAGTGGGGGTGGTGGAGTGCAGGGTGGCCAAAAGGGCAGAGATTGGGGGGGAGACAGGCAGGTGGGGGGAAATGAAGCAGGGCAGGAGAAGTGTGAGGTCCTTGCCTAACGACAGCATAGTCTTCACCTAATGACCGCAACTGGGACTACTGGAACTGCAATCGCTAAGTGGTCCCATCACATGATGTAATGACATCGCTTAGCGAGAGAAATTCCAGCTTAAATTAGGGTCATTAAGCGAGGACTACCTGCATTTCAGTTCAGAGGTCAGTCTGGTGTTTTGGGATATCCTTCACTTCTCCATCATGCTATAGCTCAATTATGATCAACATTTTGTACACCCCCAAGCTTCCAAATAGGTAGTTTTTCCTTTTTCTAATTTACAAAAGTATTTATTTCTGCTAATTAGAGAGTTTGTATGTAGAAGTTCCATATTTATTTTTGGTGGCCTCATGTCATATTCAAATTGATAGCAATTTATAGCCACCCTAGTTTGCTACTGGAGAAAGTTATTTCTCTGTCTCTTTCTTCAAACATATACATCACATACACAGTTAGGTTTTTGTGACAGGAAACCTCATCTTTATTATGGTCACAGACCAGAATTACAAATAAAAATACACTGAAATACATTGAAATACATTAAAGGAAGTGAACAGAACATGATACAATATTTACAGATCATCAGTGGGCAGTCAAAATCTGCCTAATTTTGCAGACAGTATAACAAAATTTAGTTACGTTCAGGGAAACTAAATCATTCTGATCAGATAGCAACAACTGAATGTAAAAAAGATCAGAATTCCCTGGATATTTTATCAGATGAGGAGTTATTAAATGGGTTAGCAACAACTGAATGTAAAAAAGATCAGAATTCCCTGGATATTTTATCAGATGAGGAGTTATTAAATGGGTTAGCAACAACTGAATGTAAAAAAGATCAGAATTCCCTGGATATTTTATCAGATGAGGAGTTATTAAATGGGTTCGTGATTCCTTATAGAAAATACAGTATAATAGGACATGTGCTGCCTCTTTCTTCAAACATGTACATCACATACACAGTTGTTAAGTTTTTGTGACAGGAAACCTCATTTTTTCCCCCTTCAACAGCACTGAGTTACTTTTTAGGAATTATTTAAAATGTAGGTTAGCAATATGCTATTAGAATAGATAAAGACTCACATTCTGCTTTGATTGCTGCACTGTTGATAGTCACATGAGGATGTCTTGCTGCATGCCATGGACGCAAGATGTCTCTACATAAACGTCGGGCAAGCCTGGTTAGTTTGGTTGTGTGTAAATAGAAAGCCTGTCGTGTTTTCATAGCAAACTTAGGGCTCCCGTTGTTTCTTATGGGTCCAGTATGAGGACTCTATAAAAAAGCAAATTTGTGATATGGTTTGGTTAGAAATTTAAAAAATAGATTTCCTGCATGCAAAGAAAGGCCATGTGAGGCTCAGTGTGGAGAGATGATGAGTAAAGAGAAAGTTATATACGGAAAGCTGCAGAATAATAGAACTATGGAGTTGGAAAAGGAGATTTATTTATTTAGATTTTTAAAAAATACCTGACTCCAAATGACTCTCGGTGCTAAGGTAATCAAAACCCACCTCTTGCTCAGTATAGGAAATCTGTACTGTACATCTCAACAGATGGCTCCCCAGTTCTCCCCCAGTGAAGGGAAACTCGCCATCTCCCTTAGGAACTGATTCAACCAACGATCTACTCTTTCAGTTGCATTTTCCCCCCAAACAGTATTCTATAAAGTTGTGGATTTATCCCTATGAAGATGTGCATACATCCTATGCATATGGGGGTTGTGCAGAGCAGTTATGGTAACAGTGCCTGTACAAATACATATATGGTATGTGATTGGGAGGACGGAATGTACACATATGAAGAACGCATGTATCGCGTATTTGGATAAATGGCTGTGGCTATGTAAATGGAAAAAGGGGACGCGGTGGCGCAGCGGCTTAATGACGCTGAAAGTTGCTGGCCAGAAACGGTCAACGCTTCAGCGGTTCGAGTCCAGCCTTCGCGTTAGCAGGGTTTGCTCCTGTTTCCTCCCCAGTTCCTGTAAACC